CAGAATATGGACTCGAACACCAAAAAGGCGCCGGGTCCTAGTGGTCTTACCTTTTCTGTCTTGATGCAGGCCTATCACTCAATCCCTGACCTGTTCTTTCAAGTCTATCGAACGGTGCTGAACTCTGGCTATGACCCTCGTGCATGGCGCGAGGCGAACTGTGTTCTGAATGCGAAACTGCACAAACCAGACTACTCTGTTGCGAAAGTCTACCGGCCCATTTCTTTGCTAAACCGTCCTGGCGAGATTTATTTTGTTTTTGTGACACTGTCTTACATCTATTTTGTTTTATTATATGGTGGAGAAGGGGGGGATAGTCTGTCATAACCTAGTTATTGCAACGGACTAAAAACAGAGATTTATCATCATCATCATTACTACTCCACCATAAAGTTGCAAGGCCAGCTCTCAGATCCACCAACAAAATTGGTCTATAACTCATCCCTCTGCCTCTGAGTGGGAGAGGTTTGCAGATGACACCAGTGATCGGTGCCAATGTGGGCCTTCTGAAGATATTTGGCAAGTGCAGACAGACCTTTATCTGTCCATCGAATGCGATTAGGCAGGCATTCAGGAGTATGTGCTGAACTGCTCGCTGAGAAACTCCACACCAGTTCTCTGGAGATGAGCGAAGTTCTTTGTCCAGCCTTGCGAAGTTGCTCTTAGAGAGGTCATGTCCATGTCTAGTGTAACAGCTCACAATGCAGCTGGCAATACTACAAAGAACTGAAGTCTGCCTTCATAATCCTTGGGAGGTTTGACTTGGAATTTGTCTTTCCAATCATAGAATTCACAATCATAGACTGGCTCATAAAGAGGAGCAGAGTGAAGTCAAGACTGGCTCAGTCTGGCAACAAGGCTGTTTGATTTGCTAGGCCCAGAGCAGGATTGCTGCCATCAGCTTTGGTGGCAGAGTAGAGCCAATAAATAGAGACTTTGGAGTTGGTTTGAGACAGTTGATTGATTGCCTGATAGATCACAGTAGCTTGGCATTCATTTGAGGCATGCCAAGGCTTCTCCAGGTACTCCAAGATAGCGGGGGCATCCGTGAAAAAATGGATGGCACGTTTGACAGTCCTTGTCTTGTTGTTGAGCTTATGGTCTTTGCTAAGGTGGTTACTGTCACAGAGTAAAGATCAGACTGAAAGCCCAAAAAGCAATGCTCTTCATACATGATGTAATCTCAATTTTATTCAACCATGGAAAGCCTAGCCAGCAGCAATATCTTCAGTGGTGTGAAATGAGCAAGTGTAGATATACCTGCCCTTGCCAAAGCATCACAGAGTGGACCTCGTGCTAATCATCACTCATAAATATCGGACTAACTCATTTCCTTAGCTCACTGCTCTCATACGTTGCCCATTAGCGACCTCCATATCCAATCTAAAGGCTGATAATAAGCAATGAAAGCTCTGTTGGGCAAAATATGTCTACTTGCTCCCACGACAACTGCCCAGTCTCCATGCTTAGGCTTTTCATCAGAAGACCAGCAACCCTGCTCTAGGTTATCACTGTTTATCCTAATAACAAGTGCATAAGACCAGATCTTTTCATCCTGTTCTTTGCATTCCTCTCGGAAAAGATTTATACTGTCCTGGGCTTCGAGCTAGTCGCCTGGCTGCATTAGCCATGACTGCACCAAAAAATACTACATCTTTAACCTCAGTTAACCCCTCCATAAGAGCAGACAAAATTGGTTCAGCCTCAGCAGGCAAGCTCCTCATATAAATACAAACCATGAGATCATCAGGAGTGACACCCCGCAACAAGGTCTGCTCCTTGAGTTTTCTATATGTATTTGCATGGGCCAAAACATCTGGAAGGTCAAGAGATTGGTGAGCTTGAGATCAAGCAACTCATTCACCAAAACAGCCTTGTATCTTAACGATTCATTGATGTGCTCAGTCTGATGCTCATATGTAGAGGGTTGGTGTTGATGTTCAGGAATTTTCCAAATGATTCTAGCATTATCAGACACAAAGTGCTCATAATCCTTGGAGCGAACAGCATTGGACAACACCATGAATGTCAGTCCATTTGCTTTGGCAAAAAAGGGATCCTGCTTCAACTCCTCAATCTCCGAGTCACTCAATTCCATACCAACAACTACCCACAAGCCCCTAATAAGAAAAGTGCATCTTCATGAGGCAAGCCCACTGGATATAGGGACATCATGGAGATTAGGAAAATTCATGGACTGGGGCTCAAAGTGAGGGTCCGTCACTTTTTGCAAATATTTGCTGCCCATAAAAGCTTCGCCCATCTTGTGATGATGATGACGATAAATATCTGTTTTAAGTCCGTTGCAACAACTAAGTTATGACAGACTAACACCTCCTTCACCACTATATAATAAAACAAAATAGATCCTAAGATCGTGTCACAATAACAAATAAATCTCCAAGTCGAAAATAAAACAAAGAAATTTCGCAAAATTTACTATAACACATTTCAAATAATAAATAAAAATCCAAAACAATTCAATAATAACTTTCCAAGCTATCAACGTCCCTAGGAGGCCTCACGGCTACTCCTCCTCCTCAATATTGGCGATGCCCGCTCTCAAATCCACCATAAAATTAATTCATAACTCATCCCTCTGGCTCTGAGTCAGAGACGTCTGCTGATGATACCAGTGACCAGTGCCAACATGGGTCTTCTGAAGATACTTGATAAGTGCAGAAAGACCTTTGTATGTCCACAGAATGCGGTCGAGCGTGCGGTCAGTGATATTCATACTTTCAAAAGCACTAGTTCGTTCATTGCTGTGATTGGGACAAGAAAGAAGCACATGCTCAATTGACTGCAGTGGAACTCCACACCAACAGTCTGGAGAGGGACGTGGCTCCCTGCCATGTCTTGCAAAGTAGCTGCTGAAGAAGCCATGTCCAGTCCAGAAGCTCACAATACAGCTGGCAATGCTGCGAGGGATATCGACAAGCGGCTTGTCGATAGAGAGTCGATGCTTGCCTTCATATTGATAATACTCTGATCGAGGTGCAGCTTGAAGCCTGGCATTTCATTCCTTACAAGCGAGGTCATCGACGAGCTCATAAAGAAAGCTCAAGGAGCTATCATGATTGGCGCGGTCTGGCGACGAGGCTGCTTGAGTTGCTGAAGCCAGGGCACGATTGCTGCCCTCCACTTTGGTAGCGGAGCGAAGCCAATAGATAGAGACTTTGGTGTTGATTTCAGACAGTTGATTGATGGCTTGATAGATCACAGTAGCTTGGCATTGATTCGAGGCGCGCCGAGGCTTCTCCAGGCGTTTCAAGACAGCAGGGACATCAGTGAAGAAATGGATGGCCTCGTTTGACAGTCGATGCTTTGTTGCCCAAGTTGTGGCCTTCGCTAAGGCGGTTATTGCCTTCGCCCATCTTGTATTGACTGATGTTGTCTGTCAATGTTCTCAAAGGCTGTAAAGGTTGTGTTGCTGTGTTGTTACAGAAAGAAGAGAAGTGGAGAGGACCACAGTACATAAGTCAGCACTCTCCTAACTATCCTTGCGCAGGTCAACCTGCAGTGACATGGTCATTACTATTCCGATTATTCTGTATAATAGTTAAATGACACATAGTTGACACATTAAATCTCATGTGTAATCTGGTGTATGTGGCAACAGATTTGGAACGAAGTTCCGCAAGGTGTGAGTAATCTGGAAGAGTTCGGAAGGCAAGATTAAAGAAGTTAAGTATTTCCTGGTTGGCCTGCTCTAACACAGCAAAGGTGCAGATGCAATTATCTGTTTTGTGAGCTGACAGTAATAACCAGTTTCTAAGGTGGAACAGCCTGCCGACCTCTCCCTCAGTTCAAGAATTAATGCATAGAATCAATATCGGAAGTGGGTCTATTGATTATAAACATACAACATAAGTAAATCTCATGGTCAACATATAAAGGAACCTGAGTGAATATTTGTATCTTCCCATGATAAAGAATCGACCCTCTGAAGATGGCAACATTCACAAGTATGACTCTCACAGTTATTCACTTCAACCATGATCATCAACACTTCCTGTCCAACTTGGGATCGCCAATTCCTACTCCCCATTCTGTCAAGTTTGATCCCTAATTTATCCCTCTGACTCTGAGCGACAGAGGTCTGCTGATGATATTGATGACTAGGGTCTATATGGGTCTTCTAGTGGTATTGAACTAGCGCAAAAAACCTTTGCCTGTCCAGAAAATTGCCATCAAGGGTGCGTTCTGGGCGGGTGATACTTTCAAAGGCGCGCATGCTGAACTATCGGCTGTAAAGATCTGCTGTAAGGATCCGCACCAACACTGTGGAGAGATGCTAGAATCGTTGGGGTGTACTGAGTGAACACGACATAGCTCAGCTAAATAATCGGCTGTTAACTCGTACAGCTAAATCAATAATTTCCATAGGACTGCTGTGGCAGCCTAAATACTATACTCATAGATTTTTCTATCAAACTCGAGATCATACTCTCTGCACCTCCGAGTTGTTGTGGAGTCCCTATTCCAGCGGTTTAGCACTGAGTATCTCGCTTGTCAAACTGATCATTTCATTGACATACAGAGGGATTTGGATTTCAAACCACGTGATAGACCGGATTTGAGGGTCATGACCAACCGCAAACAGGTTTATTTCGCTGTGACCCCAATATCATGATCAACTTCTTGTCCTCACGACGGAGAGCTTCGACCGCTCGACCTCAACCACCTCGACCACTTACTTAATAGGTTTCGCCTCCGATTTGCTGAATAGAAAACCTTTAGAAAACTCTCGACACGCCGATAAACCTGGTACGCTTCCGTATCGTTTGCAAAAGGATCCATTATATCCTCTTTAAGATCCCTGCAGAAGGTGTGCTGTAATAACCGTGCGGTCTGCAAAGGCTATGGCTCCAGGTAACCTGAGATAGCCTGGCCAGCATAGATTCAGTAAATAGACGATATTGAAATAGGGTACGGGTTGGCCAAACACATTGTGGGGGCAAGAAGGTGGGGTAATCGCATCGTTCAACTCCGCAGTTGTTACAGCCTTTCGCTCAACAGAAGGCGGGCTAACAATGGTCAACTCATACAAACTGCATCAATTACAACCCAGTGAAGTTGATGAAGGTGTCGACGAAGCGGATGATGGAACGGAAGGGATAGAGGGACCAGCGTAAGTCCTGCAATCCTGGCTGTGCTAGGTTTTCCATGAAAGTCCAAATCATTAAGATCATTTGCTTTACTAGGTGTCTGGGATGTCGGAAACGCAAAAGAAAGTGTTCGCGCACACAGCCATGCTTTTACTGTACAAAGTTCAGTAAGTATTATGGGTGGAGACTTGATTTAATCAGTGTTATACTAATACAGCAACAGATCTTGAATGCGAGTATGACGAAATGAAGGCAAAGCCGAAGCTGAAGGCTGGCGTACTTCAGTCTCATTCCGAGCGTCTAGATAATTTGGAGAAGCTGTTTCTTGGCCAAAGTATTCTACTTAGACAACTTCTGGCACCGGCGCTCCAGAACATCAACGAGCTGGCCACCAATGTTGCTCCAGATATTATTTCAACGGCAGTATGCAACCTAGCCGACGACCCGTACGGACTACAGTTGAAAGGATTCGAAGAGACTTTGCGAGGACTGCGAAATGATTTTGGCTTCTCGAACAGGAAGCGTGAGCGGTTGCCATCGGAGGACCAGGAAGACCAGAGTGAACCAAACAAACGCCTTCAAACGCAACACTCGAGCGGGGGAACCCGTAAATTGTCATCTGAGGCAAGAAACTTCTGTATAGCGGGTCCGAATGATCAAAGCAATTTGCCAGCTCTTGCACATCGACTATCACTACCACAGGCGCAACAGTCTTATCTTCGATCTCAGCCGCCGTCAGAGAACGCTCAGGCGCGAGCCAGCTCCTCCGAACAAGACCATACATCTCAGCATCGCTCTGAGGACGACTTGACTCCATTACTGTCAACATTCCATGGTACGCGGTCATATCTTCCTCCTGAAGATTTGATATCTGACCTTGTGGATCTGCATTTTGAGTTTATACAACCCTGGATTCCAGTTCTCCATCGAGATACATTTAAGGCAAAAGTTCGGAACATTGCCGAGCGCCCACGTTTGGCCGTTATTCTTCATGCCATAGTTGTTGCTGCTTCTCGATTCTCAAAAGATTGTCGTCTACGCAATCGCAAAATCAGGGAAAAGCTATGCAACGCCTGTCGCCAGTATGTGATTCTGCAGAGTCTGGAGTCATATTCTGTTGAGAATGTGCAAGCGGCAATCATAATCGCGTTCGATTCTATTGGTGCAGGCCGGGGTCCAAAGAGCTGGGCATTGGTTGATTCGATGACTAGAACGGTAGAGCACTTGCGTCTATCATTTGAAGAAGATGAGGAGAATACCAACTCGACTGGCGCTGATGATGATAGACAGAGTACGCCATCACCAAATCAGAAGTTTATGACTCGCATGACATTTCTTCGGAAAGCAGACACTTTCATTGAACAGGAAGAACGACGAAGAGTATTTTGGAACGTGTTTCTGCTGGACCGTTTTTGTTCTATATCAACCGGCTGGAATCCAAGTTTGACAGCTGTTGATGTTCGCAGGAGGCTACCAATAAACGGAGAATACTGGAGCGATAATATTCCTCATCGTGGGCGCTATTTTGGGTTTCAATCTGTCAAATCTGAGACTCCCCGAGCAGACGGAGAAACCCCTAGTACAACCAATGGCGACCGGTCTTCGTCGGTGGGAGGCTGTGGGGATGAGCATAGACCATCTGCGAGAGAGGATGAAGTTCAAAGTCTTGGAGGATTCTCTTACTGCGTTGAAGCTTCAGAGTTTCTTTCTGCGGTTACGCAATTTTTCTTGCATCAGGATGTACATCCACAGTCTCTAGCCGAACTTCAGGAATGGATGAATGGCTTCAAAGACCTTGATTTGAGGTTAGCGCAGTGGAAGGCCAATCTACCGGCCAGATGGCGAGAAGTACGACTACATCCGGAACCGAAACCAAAGTTCGATCCGTTAATGGACCAAAATCTGACTCTGGCGCATATGACCCACAACACCTCGGTGATTCTACTACATCAATTTGTAGCTTATCCGGTTGCACAGTGGCAGTTAACATCGATGATGCGATCTTCGCAGCGAAGCTCTGCAGATACATGTCTTGCAGCGGCGAAGGAGATTTGCAATATGACGTCACGGTATTTGAACGCTATGGATGGGATTGTAAACCCTCAGTTCGGCTTCTGCCTGTTTGTTTGCGGACGGATGCTTTTATGTCACTCTTCCTTCACAAACACTGAGCTGCTGCCAGAGTTTTCGTTGATAATTGATGCACTAGGAGAACTTGCGCTAAGATGGAGAGGTGATTACTACGGCGGTAAGCCTGTGGGCGGTGGTACGACGACGCGAATCAAGGAGGAAGTCGGAGAGATGGATAATCTGTTTGCGCGTTTTCAAAGAAGTCTGATCAGTGCGCGAACACAAATGAGGGCGAATGAGAACGAGAAGATCGATATTCGCGCTCCTGTATATGCCGCTACTTCCACGCGAGAGATGGATCAAGCTAAGTCACTCCCACAGTCTCCGGCAACATCGAAATCCCAACATTATGCTACAATGGCCACCTTTGAGCCATCAAGTTCATCACAGGGTATCAAGCCAAATAATGAGATGAGCAGCGAACGTTTGGCTCCAAACTCTACGTCGCCACCATTGCCGATATCATTTCAGGCCGATCGTACAATGCTGGCGCCCTTTTTGTCAGGTGACCTTCCAGTCTATTCGCAGGTTAATACCCGTGTTAATTCACCTCTGGCGGCGTTTGGTTCAGATACTGAGTTAGACGTGGTAGATGCCGCCGGAAATAAGCAATCGGAATCGATTGGGTTTAATATTGATGATCTAGTTCCTTGGTTTGACGATCCTCAGTTTTCGGAATTAGATCGTGTTTGGACGTTTGTGACGGCAGACTAGATCCGAGGATTTAGAGGATGAAAGCAGTGATGTCATGGAAAGTTTCTAAACTGCAATAGTTTTCAAATGAGCCTTTATTCTAAATGAGCCTTCATAAAAGTTCACTTTTGTAGCCAAATACCAGATGCCAATTAGGAAGAAAGGATAGATACATAAGAACTTGCAAACTGAAATATAACCAAGTGGAGTGAAGCAGTCATGAAAATGCTAAATAAGCGAAATAACAATGAAAGATAAAACCGGGAGAATGAAAATCAAAGGAAAATCAACTCTTTCTACAGAAAACAACCCAGAAGTAATTCTATTTCAGGGAGAAGATGTTCCAGTTTGTAAGAACTAATTTTGAGAAAAATGCAACGACACCACCTGCGGCCATCATGCAGGCAGCAAAGACAGCAGCGCCCCAATAGGAACCATTGTTAGCATCGATGATTGCACCAGCGACAGGCATTCCGAAAAGAGAAGAGAACGAGAGGGCAGCTGAAACCGCCCCCATTCGAGCACCAACTTGTTGAGGGGGGGAGATGTCGGCAATCATGGGCTGCCATAGAGTGAACGCGATACCAGAAGAGAAGCCATAAAGGGCAGCATACATGATAATGGCAACGTGGGACGACGCTGGGATCCAAAGCGCACTAGTTAGGATAGCACACAGAAATGCCCCAAAAACATACATGTTGAATCTTCCGAGCTTGTCGGCTAGTAGGCCAGGAACAACACGACCAAAGCACGAAGCTGCGTTCTGGATAGATATAAGGTATGAAGAAAGGGTCTGCGAAAATCCATGAGCAACGGCATGGTTCGGAACAAAAGAGATGGGAATAAAAAGCCCCCAATAAGCTAGGCAGACACCTCCAGCTGCAAGGCCAAACTCCGGGATACCGAATGGTTTGAGATAATTCTGATAGAAGCGGATAGGCTGTCGGCCGGGAGGGTTAAGTCGGGAGGTGACGGTGAGACAGCATAAGACGGAGAAGAAGGTGAGAAGGAAGCCAACAGCGCGCACTCCCCAGCCAAATCCGGCACGCTTTTCGACATTACGAAAGATGATTGGAATGATGACGCCTCCGAGGGAAGAGCCTGCGTTGGCAATACCGGAGGCGGTAGCACGGCGTTTGACAAACCAGGTTGAGATGGCGGAGACGCAAGGATTGAACAACAGGGAGGCACCCAGAGCGGTGCAGATGCCTTGTGCTAAGATGAATTGATAATATTCGGTACAGAGAGAGGTCATCATGATTCCGAGATTCATGATGATTGCGCCGGGAATGATAAGAGGGGTAGGGCCGAAGATATCATAGAGTCTGCCGACGATAACACCGCAGAAGACGGTAAGCCAAGTTTGGACCGAGGTGATCCAGGCGATCTGAGAAGAGGAGTATGTTTGGAGTTGGTGCTGGCCGTAGTATTCGGTAAAGACGCCGATGACTTGGATGTAGCCGAAGGAGGCGAAGATGCCGCAGAATGCACCAAATACGCAAGTCCAGGCTAGAGAGGATTTTGAGCACGTCAGCGGCCGTAATAATGAACAAATAGACTGGATAAGTGATAATCCATAAAGACAATTAGAGAAAGCAGGGGGAATGAGTACCTTTGATACCGTAGTCGGGCGGATAGCGTTCGTGCGACTGCAGCTGATAGCCGGAAGAGTCTGCGGAGGTATCGCTTGCATCGGGCAAGCTCTTTTTCTCGTCGTGATCAGCACCAAAGACTTCTGCCACCGGCTCAGGATCAGGTAGAGAAGGCTTCTCAACAGGCGAGGGAGCTGCCGATGATGCTGAGGAGGAGGGGATGAGGTCTACCATTGTTGCTGTAGGTCGCGAGACATATAAGAGGATATCGACTAGCGAGACGAAGAAGAAGAGGAGGAGGAGGAGGAAGAAGGAGAAGACGATACAAAAGCAGAGAAGCAGCGGAGGGAGGAGGCAGGATCCAAGAGGTTTTTGTACATTTCCAGGAAGCCCGACACAGCGAGGAAGAGAAACCACACAAGTTAATCGTCGATTTCTGTATTCGAGTGTTATCCCCGGGTTTGTGCAAGGAGTTAGAAAAGCGGAGTTGCTCGGCGCTCATTCGCTGGAGTTAACCAGATAGCCGGAAATGTGTCCGCTCGGGACCGCTCCAGGCTGCAGATATCTCCGAACACGTGATCCTGCATCTTCAATGACTAAGATATGACAGATATGGGGGTCGACCCCCGCGCGTGGGGGAGGCCGATGGGGAGGTGAAGCGGGGATGAGCGGGATGCTCCGGTTCTGGCACATTATAAAGCCCGGGAGCCTTTGTCTTCTTTTTGTTCTTCTTCATCGTATCGCCTGCTCGACTTTGCTATGGCTACTGGGTAATCTCGTCGCTATTAATTGCTGCTGCTTTCTTGTTACTCATGGCTGACACTTTCGCAGACGCTCATTCACCCTCAACTCTGGATACAAGATCCCCGCTCTTGGGCTCGGTACCTGGCAGTCCCCCGAGAGCGAGGTCTACACCGCCGTTCTCACTGCTCTTAAGACCGGTTACCGGCATATTGACGCCGCCTTGGTAATACTTACCCCACTCCTTTGATATTCTGTTACTCTGTGAACGTGAACGTGAACGTGTCATTGCTAATCCAGGATCAATCGCAGTGCTACGGCAACGAGAAGCCGGTCGGCCAGGCAATCAAAGATTCGGGCATCCCGCGAGAGGATATTTTCCTCACCTCAAAGCTTTGGTGCACTGGACACACTCGTGTGGCCGAGGATCTGGAGAAATCTCTGACCTCGCTCGGAGTCGACTACTTGGATCTCTATCTCATGCATTGGCCTGTTTCTCTCAACCCGGCCGGCAATCATCCACTCTTCCCTACCAAGCCTGACGGCTCCCGAGACATTCTTCCTGAAGAGGAGTGGAATTACATCAAAACCTGGGCCTCTATGCAGGAGCTTCTCTCTACGGGTAAGGTCAGATCGATCGGCGTCTCGAACTTGTCGACTGTTCACATCGACAAGCTTCTGGCGGCACCGACTACGAAGGTTGTTCCTGCTGTCAACCAAGTCGAGTTGCATCCGTACAATCCCCAATTCAAGCTTCTGAACTACACAAAGGAGAAGGGAATCCATCTTACAGCTTATTCTCCGCTCGGATCGACAGACGCGCCTCTGCAGGAAGAGAAAATTGTCAAACTGATTGCTGAAAAGACTGGAAAGACGCCGACGCAAATATTGATTTCGTGGGCGATTTGGCGTGGAACTTCAGTGATTCCAAAGTCTGTCACTCCAAGTCGAATTGAGGCGAACTTCCAGGACTTTGTGTTGTCGGACGAAGATGGGAAGTTGCTTGACTCGATCTCGAAGACGACCCAAAAGAGAATCGTTCAACCAAACTGGGGAGTGAAGGTGTTTTTGGACGACGAATAGACTGCGCATTTGAATCCGAGATAGCCAATTTTTCTATTTTATCTACAACTAGTTTGTTATCTGATGATCTCATCTTGTATTTGACTAAATATATTATATGAAAAGCTAAATCTAGCAAATAAAGACTGATTTAGTCTATGGAGAACACGATTACTCTATTCTGTTTTCATTTTCATCGTAGTAGATCTTCTTTCCTGAAATAACAGACTCCTGCAAAGCATTCGCTATTTTGACGGCGTGGACAGCACCTCTGGGATCGATGGGAACTGGCAGGTCATCTAGGATCGCTTTGGTAAACTCGTTGGCCTCGACAGCAAACCCGGGCTGGAAGCGCTCAAAAAACGTTTGCGGAATCTCGCGACGAACTCCGTAGCTGTCGTGAATAGTGACATGATTGATAGCGGGAGCCATGTTGACAGTAAGCTTGCCGTTTGTTCCACAGATCCAGGTTTGGTCTTCTTGGCCAGCAGCCATCATCCGAGTAGCGTAGAAGGTAGCAATCTGCCCAGAATGAAACTCCACAGTCCCGACAGCGTTGTCAACGTCTTTATGAAGGGTGAGATCAGGCTCAATAGCCGCAACACCCGAGGCCGATATAGACTTGACCTTGACGTCCTCGCCAAAGTACCAGAGCGCAAGGTCGATATCGTGGATAGTGCAATCGACAAATATTCCACCCGAAAATTGAGCATATTGAACAAAAAATCCAGAAGGGTCGCGTTTGTCACCGGTCTGGCCGTAGTAGATTATTGGCTTGCCAATGAGGCCCTCGTCAATTTTGTTTTTAACATCACGATAGGACGAGTCGAAGCGACGCATGAAGCCGCACATGAGCTTCAGATGAGGCTTTTTTGCAGCAGCATCAATCACCTGCTGAGATATCGCATCCGAGATTGAGATCGGCTTTTCGGAGAGAACATGCAGATCTTTGGCAATTGCTTTAAGGGCCTGCTCGGCATGCACAGCAGTGACGGTCGCAATCACGACAGCCTCGAGAGATTCGTGCTCAAGCATTTTGTCGTAGTCGTCGTAGACAGCCACACCAAGAGGAGCAAGATTCTGGCTAGCCCATTTGATCTCATGAGGAGCAGGTGTGAATACCGCGACGAGTTCAGCCCGGGGCACGTTTGTAAGAAAGTTGTTTGCGTGTCGCTGACCCATGCGGCCGAGTCCGGCACAGGCGACCTTCAGTTTGCGCGATGGAGGAACGGGTGTTGTGGTTGCCATTGCGGAAGGGATAGTGGATATCGAGGAAGAAGGCTCGAATACCAGATAGTGTACGTATAAATAAACAAAACAAATGTGAACAGACAGAATAAGTAAATTAAGTCGACAGGAACAGATACCGAAAGTGTGGGGAAGGGACCCAGAGGGTTAGGTCGTTCGCATCGGGAGGGCATCGCGAGTTACCCGGTGTAGTGCTGTTTTTAGCAGTCGGAGCGCCTTCCGGTGGCAGTCCAGGAACAATGGCAATTTAGCTCGCCTTTTCCGTCGACAGCCGGAGTCTGGGGTTGGCCCGCTCGCACCCCGCATTTCCCGTCTGTCCGGGTCGAGTCCGCTCTCCTCCTCGTTCTCGCTCCTTCCCCTTCCTCTCTCCTTCCTCCTCCTCTTCTTCATCCATCATCTCCTCACTAAGTTCACCAACTATGGCTGCTACTCCCGGTGGCAGACACGGCTCAAGGTCATCGATAGCCTGCAAGCGCTGTCATCAGTCGAAGATCAAGTGCGATGTCTCTGCCCACGGATCTCCCTGTTCTCGTTGTCGTGAGCGCGGCATTACCGACTGCGAACCCATCCAGAGTCGACGAGGCACCTACGATCGAAAGGAGTGGCTGAAGAGAGTCAAAGCAAAGAAAGCTGCTGAGGCTGCTGCTAATGTTAATGCTGTTTCCGCGAGTAGTGATGTTGGCGGCAGCAGTAGAAGCAGCAGCAGTGGCTCCTCCTGCTCATCCACTACGGACAACGATAACTTCGCCAAACAACAGCAGAATCAAGCTCACGATTCGACCGATGAGGAGAAGGGCAGTGCTGAAGAGCTGCCCTCAAGCAGCGCTGCATCGCTTTCCTTCCTTCGCCAGCAGCATTGCTTTGATCTGCCTCCTCCCGATGTCCTCGACGCCCTCCTCTCCGCCTACTTTACGCACGTTCATCCTACTCTTCCCATTCTCAACCGCCGTCTCATTGCCGCTCAGCACGCCCGGTCTACAATCCCCTTCCTGCTTCTGCATTCGATCTGTTTTGCTGCTGCGACACACGTGCCCCTCGCCTTTCTTGTCGTCCCGCCATTGTCCTCTCTCACCGTGGCCTCTACTCCTGTTGCATCTCGAAAAGAGGCTCGTTTAGAGTACTATCGTCGTGCCAAACTTCTATTTGACTCTGCAATTGAGAAAAATGGTCTTGTCGTTGTGCAATCCTGTATCTTGCTCTCTATCTATGGCGACAAGCGCGAAGAGTCCTGGAACACAACATCCTGGATCGACGCCGCTGCTACCGTTCTTGAACACTCGGAGCATGCCTCTCTTCCGGGGCTCTGGCGCCGAATAGCCTGGACCCTAGTGTCTCGCGACGTATTTTGTGCTACCCTCCTCGGCAAGCAGCCTCGCATCAATCGCATTGACAACCTGCCGCCGCTTACTATCAACGACTTTGACGACGACCTCGACTGTGACGATATCTCTCTCTTTGGTCAATTTCATCCTGATATCGCCCAGTATGTTATTGAAGTATCGACCCTCACTCTCCATCTACGCGACATTGTCATTGCCTCCCGCCATCCCCTCGGCATTTCGCAGCCGTTTATCCTTTCAATCTTGCAATCTCTTGACAAATGGAGAGCCCGCGTTCCAGTCTCTCTTCGTCTCCTCACAAATTCTCCAAGCTCCGATCTCTACATTTACGCCGCAGCACTATCGCTTATGTACAACCATCATCTCATATATCTTCATCAAATGACTCTCACCACTTCTCCTTCTCCTTCTTCTACCTTTGGGCTCTCCGGTGGCATTGCTGGCGCAGGATCAGTCAGCGTTGCCATTGCTCAGGACTCAGTCAGCCAGATAGCTGATCTTGGATCATCTCTTGTCACTTCTTCCACCATTCCTTTACTACCGCCGGACTCCCACAACAGTTTTTTCATGTCCATTGTCATGCTCTTTTCTCAAATTCAAAATAATTGGTCGACCTCAAGCACTCCTGCTGATAAGCTTCTCAAAACTCAGCTCAAAGTTTGTGAGATGGTTGTCTACAAAGCGAAAGAGACTTGGGACCATGCTGAATGGATCTTGAATCTTTCAGAGTCTTTGCGTCAAAAGCTCGATGCTCTGGCCGAAAAGAAGGAAAGTCTTGGACTTATCGAACGCCGAAACTCTTTCAATCAGCAGATGAAACAGCGAGAGGAGCTATTGGAGGAGCAGCAACAACAGCTGCAAAATACTCCCACTCTTCGTCGAGAGGAGAGAGTCTTTACAACAACGGCAATGACTACCTCCGCAAATCTCTCACAGCTTCAATTCTCATCTAAGGAAAGCTTGGACGAGAGTAATGGCGAACAAGAGCCAAACGGGTTTGCCTCTAGCAGTAGTGATGAAGAGGAGTTTATCTGGAACTTTGACGATCACTCATATGCTTCCTCTAATGCTACTTCTGAGGTTGAGAGCGAGAGTCTGTTTGGCCTCGATGTTTTGAAACCATCTGAGGAATTGAGTCCTTTGACTCCTGGTCGCAAGGATAACGTCGATGTCGATGTCATGGGGGTTGAGCAGAATGTGTTTGAAGAAATGGCAGAGTGGTTTGTTAATTTGGATGGATACGCTTAAGTGTGACTATAAAATCTAGCTTTTTATGTTTGTAATAGTAGGGGGATCAATGTATATGTATCAATGGTTTGGTAATAAAATTTATTTGAAAAGCACCATAGTATTCATTCATTTTAGTTAGAGCATATCTACACTCACTCCTCATATCCCCAGAGCATAGATAAAAGCTTTTCTGCCTCTTCGTCGTATGCGAGGCTCTCACACTGAACAGGAGAGTCAGCAAGTCTGTTGTCTCTATTGTCGTGAATCAGGTTAGACACAGATCCTTCGACAAGAGGAAGAGAAAGGGGAAGTTCTGCGCGGGCATTCAACGCATCAAGCAGCGCGCAAATCTGGACTGCATGATCCCATTGTTGGCCGACCATTTCCAACATGCTCTTTACAACTCCAAAGCTTTCAAGTGCTTCAACAAGCCTTTCCGTATCGTTATTCGTCTTTGATTCTAAGCAGACCTGTATCAGGTATAGTCCCAAATTCAGACACACTCCTAATACATCTAAAGGTATAGCGACCATCGTTAAGGACTGACTTCCGAGAAGCATCCTGAAAGTTGCCAGCACTTCCTCAACACTGCTCTTCATAAACAATTCTATAGTCGGATTGCGACCAAGGGAACTCTCTTCGTAGAAGTCCTGCGATGTCTGACATAGATAGATTAGGACATGATTGTAGGAAAGTCTCATAGCCAAGCTTGAATTTGACGTAGTTAAATTAAGAGATGACAAGGTCCGCAGCGTGTTTGAAACAAAGCGTTCCACCATTTTGGAATCTTTGTTAAGAAAACGAAAGCGGATTATTGACCGAAGTATGAGGCCTAGATCGCAAATTTGCTGGGAGATCTGCTGCTGTCCGGGATCCAGTGGATGAGGTCGAGGAGTGCTACACTGAGAGAGATCGATCCGTAAGGGACTCCCCGAAATGGCACTACCAAAAGCGTCACGCCAAACAAGCGTCCACCAAATCCGCTTGCACATCCCCATCGTTTGCAATTCGATCTGAGGCCCGACTTTTGTGTTACCGTCTACCCTTAATTGATGCAGACCAAGTGACTCGGCGATGTCAATGGCAGTGTTGAGCCACGTAATCGAGTTCCAGTATTCGCCTGGAGCAACGCAGTTCCAAAACGAAAGCAAAATGCAAACTTGGAGAGTTGTAATGCTGACTTACTCACTGTATGCAAAACAGTATAGGTGTTTTGCCCGCGTGTAGAAAATGCGACGCGCATCCTGCTGAGAAGAAAACGAGTCGAGGATAGAGCTTCCTTTAGAGAGATGAGAAGAAACAGCAAAGCAAATCGCGTGAGATAGTATAAGAGGTATTTGAGAGTCAAGTACTTGCTGTAATAGCTCGTTTGAATCGAAGATGGGCAAAGCGGGATATATGTCGGAAAGAAAGACCTTGGTGAACGCTATGATAAGGTCGGGTGGAAGTGGATCGTAGCATCCCAAGCTCTGTAGCAAGCGATGCCGGTCAGATACAGGACAATCCAAGTCAAATGCAAGCTCTGAATACTTTACTGATGACTGTGAGAGAAGAATTGCCGGTTTGTCTGGGCTCTTCATGTGTATGCTGAGTGACGATGAGGGCCGTAGAGAAAGAGAGGAGGAGTCATGGACATCAGCTGCGAAGTTTCTGTCGTCGCAATATACCGCGATTGTTGCAGTTTTTCATGGTACATTTTAGCAAGCGTGAAATAGATATAATACCTGAAGCTGCAATCAGAAAACAGAGCAGCGCAGAGCAACGCAAGGTCAAGAGCAGTAACGTGGCCGCCTGCCATCTCGAGAGCCCAGCAGTGGGAACCGCACGAGATGCGGCTCCCCCGCATTTTCGAGTCAGACTTAATTACTTTGGTCGTCTGCCGGTGGGCGTGACTACCTCTTCCAGCAGTCTGTCCGCAGCAGACTGGCCAGGCTCAGAGGACTACGAGAGATCAGAAGACTGAGAAGCTATCAAAATAATTCAATTCAAGCGCAAAACCACCGCCATCACAACTGCTGCCAGTGCCTGATCTCGCTCTCAGCAACGTATCGGGAAACCTTTCCTACGATGCCCTCCACGTCGAGCCCGAACCGACCGTAGTTGTTCGGTCCGCTCGCCGAGTACCCAAAGCTATCCATTCCAATGCTCGCCGTGCACAACCGTGCCCACACTGTCGGCACGTATTCCTCGACGCTGACGATCCTGCGGGCCGATCCAAGAACCCGCTGTTTATACTGCTCCGACTGGGCCTCAAACAAGCTGATGCAGGGAATAGACACCACGCGGCACGCAATCCTGTGTGCCGCAGTGAGCGTTTCTGCCGCGGCCTGAGCATAGCCGAGTGCCGAGCCGCGTGACACTAACGTCACCACCGCGTCGGCGCGCTCCTCCAAAATATATCCACCAAGCAATGTTTTTTCGCGGCAAGTACCCTGCGGGGGATAAACTGCGGGATCACGAGCGACAGAGATCATCGTGCTCGTCTTTTGTTCGCGCAGAGCAACCTCCCAGCATCCAATAATCTCTTCTGCCGAAGATGGGCGCATGTACAGAAAGTTGGGCATCGCCCGCAGAAGCGAGTCCAGTTCCACCGGCTGGTGTGTCGGTCCATTCTGGCCTTCTTGGAACGAGTCATGCGTAGCGACGTGGATCACTTGCAGACTATTTAGAGCACCCATGCGCACCCCCGGTGCCGCGTAAAGATAAAACATGAGAAAAGTTGCAGTTATCGGGATAAATGCTCCCGGCTGAAACGCCGATATCCCGTTCGATATCGCTGCCATCGCATGCTCACGAATTCCGTAGCGCGCGATTCGACCCTCGTAACTGCCTGGGCCGAAAATCACATGATGGTCCGCTCCAAGCTTGTTTGCGCCCCAAAGATCCGCACCACCTGCAAACATGGAAGGAACCTTGTTGAAGAGGGCTCTGAAAACGTACCCATTGATCTCGCGCGCAGCCTGAATAGTATCCGGGATCGTGATATCTGCTAGAAGCGATCTGTAGTCAATCGGTTTGCCAGACAGTCGGGAGCAGAGCTCACGAGCTTCATTTGGGTAGGCCACAGAATACTCGTCAATAATATGCTCCCACTCTTGCTGTAATCCAGCACCGCGCCGGCCGGCCTCAGAAAAGTATTCATACACCGCAGGTAGGACGTAATGAGTGGGACGATCGGTGCCATCCGTCAACCGCTCGACGTCTGCATCAGAAAATGTGCCATGATGCGCACCGGCTGTGCCTGCTTTATCGGTACCAAAGCCAATAGTTGTGCGGATGTTTATCATGGTCGGCTTGCCAGAGTAGGTCTTTGCGATCTCGATGGCGTTGACGAGGACAGACACATCTGTGTCACCATCAAACACGTTAATGATTCGCCAGCCCATTGCCCGTATTTTTGCATTGGTGCCTTCGGTCACGATCCAAGAAAGAGGCCCGTCACAGGTGACTTCATTGTTGTCGTAGAGGAGAATGAGGTTGTCGAGACCAAAGTTCCCAGCTAACGCCATAGCTTCAAGAGCAACGCCTTCCATCAGGCAGCCGTCGCCTGAAGCACAAAATATTCGAGAAGGGACGAGATTTTCGAATGCGGGCCTTGCATAGGTAGCGGCTAACTGCTTTTGAGCAATGGCAAGACCGACAGCGTTTGCGATGCCCTGTCCGAGAGGACCGGTGGTGATCTCCACTCCGTCAAACTCGATTTCTGGATGAGCAAAGCAGTGCGTCTCATATCCAAAAGGCTTAGGATGCCCATAACCGCGAAGCTGATCCATTGAAAATTGCTCGTAGCCGGCGATATGGAGAACGCTGTAGAGTAGAATAGCTGCGTGGCCGTTGGAGAGCACGAAGCGGTCGCGTGCAGCCCACGAAGGCGAACGAGGGTTATAGCGTAAGACGTGCCTCCAAAGAGCGACGGCCAAAGGGGCCATGCCTACAGCAGATCCGCCGTGCCCACCACCGTGCTGGCGGCAGCAGTCGACAACGAGTTTGCGGATCTCTGAGACAGCTAGGGAATCGAGGGAAGACGAGACGGTCATGGTCTGAGTCTGAGTCTGAGAAGAGTGAAGTATGGAAACAAGAATGGGTCGACAGCGCAATGAACCAAGAGCGAAAACATCGCGACCTTTATTGATAGGCGCGTCATTGTCAATCGGGCTCTTAGAACACAATCTACCGTTTTGGTGAGAAGCCGCGGGCCGAAGAAGGCTAAGGCCAGGCGATGCTCGTGATTATATAATTTATTAGTTAACTCATCATATCAAAGAATCATTTGACAATGAAGTTATCTGATTTTGAACTAGTTTATGCCTTGTAGTTATCCCAAGACTTGATATGTTTACGCGACGCAGACACTCCTTCATCTACATCAGAAGCTAGAGTATCCTTGGCCATGGTAATGATCGCGTCAGCGGACTCCACTCCCCGGAAGACAGTCTCGTTTTTGGCCAGTAGACCCCACAAATCCTCGTTGTCCTGACTGCCTGACCTAACGTAGTAGCCTCCAATCATAGACCAAAGCATCCATCCAAATTTGTACTCCACGGCTTTCTCATGCAAGCAAGTGGAATACACAGACTCGTACGCCAGCGAGCTGTCTTCCTCGCTGTGGCCCCACTCTGACAACACCACAGGCAATCTGTTTGCGACATCGGTATCAGACTCGTTCAAGCTTGCAAATCCTGCGTTGTATAGGCCCGACCAGTACGATTCACAGTCGGTTGGCGAAGAATAAGTGTGCAACTCAAAGACAGCCTTGTGGTAAAAATCGTACTCGCGAATATCAAAAGTCGCGTTGGTGGAGTCGCTTAAAGCATTGCCGTATACAATATCGTGGAGATTGGTATCATAGTTCAAGCCAGAGAAGAAGATGAGAACGTCACTATTGGCGTGATGCACAACCTCGGCAGCCTTGGTCATGTATTCAGTCCAAACCTCAAAATTGATCGGTAAGGCATATTCCGAGACAGCTGCACGAAGCTCGTTACGCAGACCGACCGACGCCAGTGCCTTCCACTTCTTGCCCTATTGTAAATAGTGGTTAGTATGATACATTGATGCATAAACTAGTGCAATTAGCCTCAGGCACGTACATGAGAAGCCATATATTTCCATCCTCGGAGCCAGTTATCGATATCGAAGTATGTGTCGTTAAACCAGCCATTTCCATCGGTACTGCAGCACCACATACCCTTCGATATGTGGTTGTCCAAATGCAAGTAGATTCCACGACCGTAAAGCTCTTCAGCTATGGCATCATAGACCTCCAGCCGAGTTATATCCTTGTGGAAAGAAGGGTTGTGCTTCAAGATCTCGTGATAGACCTGGGTACCGTTTTCGCTGCCGAGAGCCTCGACCAATGCAGTCTTGATAGAAACATCCTTTCCATGATTTTCGTAAATTTGATCGACGAGCTCGATAGCGTACGTCAGGCGAACGGAGTTCAAGCCTGCCTCAGCGAACATGCCAGCGATATGGGACACTGATTGGTACTGAAGACCTTCCGGGATCATGACATCAGCAGCACCGGGCCAATTGGCACCAACATAGGTGACCGTCTCACCCTTGCTGTTAAAAACCCAGCGTCCACTGGAGTATAGCGGCAAGGCGAGGTCGGGGTTGTAGCCACGCCTATCGAGGGAGGCGGAGGCCACGAGTGTCCCGCTGAGGACGACGTTGACGATGAAGAGCGACAGGAAGTTTCCGAAATGCATTGCTTGAGAATTGATCGCAAAGATGAATTTCAAGAGCAGATTGCTTGGGTCACATATCCATCCTTATATACATCAGAAGCGCGGGGTGGAGAACTCGAGGAGGGCAAATGCGGGGATCCTAAATCGATTCCAAACCTCCACCTCTAGCAGCTGCTCCTCTTAGTCGCTCTCCTTATTCCCTCATTGTTTACCGAGAAGACCACTTCTGTCGCTGTCGTGCCTGATCCCACTGCGAAAACCTGCCAAAGCCTGCGCCTGCGGCTAAATTCCTGGCGGGGTCGACAGATCTTCGTAAATAAACGCGGTCGAATCGGCGGCCCGCGCTCCGCCTTCCCCGGATTTTGACAGGTCAATTTCCCTCCACCATCGTCGGTCGAGACCACACAATTATCCCGCGCTTGCGCTAATCGACGAGGATGGCGATGCTGGGGCCAGTGCAAGTGGGGTGCAGACAAGCAGAGAGGCGATGCAGGGATCGCGCGGGGATGCTCTTCTCGGAGAGCATGGGATTTTTGTATTAATAGCTTACTAATCGAATACATCCTGCTCCGGGGTATGGCTAAATCTACCCTGTTTTTTTGATTATCGACCGCTTTAGGGCTGGGGTTTTGCGTGTTTGGAGCAGCGCGTCTCGGGCACCTACGCGACCTTTCAGTCCTTCATTTCATATCATTATAACTAGATAGATTCACGCTTCACATTCTTCAGATTTTCTTCTCTTCTCTACATTGGTAAACACAAACGTAACGTAATCAACAAGTTTCCAAATCAAACTGCAATGCCTCTTTGCTCTGCCAGATTACTTCGAGTTCCTGGGCATGACGGCGAATTTCTTCTATGCCCAAGACCTCCGCATTGACTACACGTGAACGGTGCTCTCGTTCGGGCGGTATTCTCCTCTAATTCAAATGCACTAGGCTCGCGTCTTGTGCTTGATTGTGGTATCAGTGAAGTTGCTGAGTAGTGGTCGATTCGACTTCGTGGCCCTAATAAAACGATAGGCTCGGGGCCATCACGAATTATGTGCCAGTGACTGTGAAAGTCAGATGGCAGAAGTGGCCGGCCGCTCTTGATTCTCTCTTCAAGAACATGTTCACAAGGTAGGCCGTAAGTTCTTGAATGTATGCCAGAACAAGGACCGAAAGGTCTCCTTTCGTGCATCTAGAGAGCGACCTTTGTTTTCATCTGGTGTACCTTCTTAAGAACCTTGCGAGAAATACGGCCGTTTACCACGCTGTAAAGCTCTTCTCTCAAATCATTTAATGTCCTCTTTTGGTCAGACAGATGCGTATCCCCTATGTCGGTCAATTGCAATTCCAGCATATTGTGGGCGTGTCTCCAGACATCAAATAGATTTCCCATAGAGAAGTTCAATTCGTTTTTGAGAACGGCATGTGCCCCTTCCACTGACGATGTGACCTGAATGCCGAAATGGGGAAACTCATCAATCCATGCTTTCACCAGCTTGGTCTTATATCGCAACCAGGTATCGAAGACATATGCAACCTGGTCAGGGTACCGTGATCCAAACTGTCTCCGAAATCTATCCACACGGTCGTTATAAGTCGCCTCGTCTGGAGATCCTCTAATCCATGTACAGTCTCGGGGGGCAAAGAGGGAGAGAGAGAGGCCATTTTGCTGCTTAGGGACGCGTTGAAAGAGAAGAACGCGAACGCGTCGAATTCTGTGGGTTTGGTCGCAAAACCCCAGCCCTAAAGCGGTCGATAATCAAAAAAACAGGGTAGATTTAGCCATATCCCCTGCTCCGCATTCTGCTGACGATATTAAGACAACAAACAACATCGCTCATCCGCGCCTGCGCTGCATAAGCAGTCGTGTAAAGTCTTTGTAATCCCACATTTTCCGATCTCCATTTGCTTTAGCATCTTGAACCTCCTCTTTCTCCTCATCAGTCGCCCTCCGTGCCTGCTCGCACAGCTCTAATATCCAATCTGCATGCTCCCAAGAGTCTCGCACATGCATCATTATCATCTCGCACATCTCAGCCTGCGACCGTATCAGAATTCGCGCCTCTCCGTTCCTCAACTGCGTAAAGAGCATCACAACCGCCATCTGCAAGCTCGCGAGTGCGTGCTCTGGCAAATGTCGAATCGCAGATGTCGTCACCAGCTCACTTGCCAGATCGGTAATCTGCATCGACGCCTCCCATGCCACCTCTCTTGAGAGTATCGCATTGGGGAGTGTTACCTGATACAGATAAATTTGATGGTGACAGTAAGTAAGCCGTAGAGCTACCGCATACAAATACCCCGGCGATTTACTCGTCAGACAGCCGCCATCCAAATCAAGTTCACGAGAAAGCTCCGCTCTCCATTCTTCCAGCTTGTGTAGTACTTCGTCAACAACTTCTCTTCTCTCTCTGTATCTCCACGGTCTAGAGATGATTCTCCGTAAAATGCTTCCAAGTTTGCTTTGCTCGATCACATACTCCGTCTGCACCTTCTCAAATCCTTCATCTACCAGCGGGAAATCGCTCTTATCAATTCCTTCGACGCTGCACTGATCCATCCTGATTCGCAGCTGTTCTCCTCGCATAGCTGCGTTGAAACTGTCTTGTGTACACAAGCACCACCAAACACGTTTCCACCAACTTCTCTCTTCTGCTCGTATAGTGTCCAGTCTTGCTGAGCTGTACATACCCATGCTCTCAGCTACATTAATTGCAACGTTCAGCCATGAAGGTAAGCCTGAAAAAGCGTTTAACTGTCCACCCCATAAACTAAGCAGTATGCTGCACTGAACAATAGTGACCTGTTTCCGCTCATAGTCCATATCGAACAGAGTCTTGGCGCGATCATAATATGCTCTGCGAGCCTCCCTTCGGGTCATAAAACCGTCTCGACACAATACATTGAGCTCGCAGTGTCGCGCCGCTGCAAAGCACATTGCATGTATCAGCATCAATGAAGCTCGTCCCTCGCCGTAGAGTCTTTTGAATTCTCTCTTCTGAATCACAGGATAGAGATTATGGACCCTGGCATAATAGGTCACCATCAGCACCTCTCTCGTCTCCGCAATCGGCAAGGTGAAGCAGTCCTTTGACTTCAGATATGCAATTTGAGCTTCGGTCATGTGAGCCAAGCTGTGGTCGCTCACCATCTTGTATTCATCAACTGACCTACTATCTCCTTCTTCCATCTCTTGACCAAACTCCACTTGTGTTCCCTCTTTATGGGCTGAAAATGAGTATTTCAATGGATCTGGTCGCGCTTTGCGCTTTTGTGATCCTAGCCCATTCTCTCTGTATGTGTCAATCCCTAGATGTCTGCGTAGTGATTTCATCGTCGGGAACGACTTTCCGAAAAATTCGGTAGACTCTCCGCAGCTGCTAGCGTCTTTAGTCTCTATGTCGCGATTAAGATAATTGGTGAATAGAATCGACCATTGCAAGCGATATGGCGACTCAGGATCCTCTTTCGCAAATCTTTCCGAAGGCTTTTTGTCAAGCCAGATCAGATTACACTTCTTAGATATCTGACTTGAAGAATCAGAAAGAGAATGCAGAAGACTTGAAGGGTTCCGATCAACTGCGGCCATTTTTCTGGTCTGGTCGGAAGGTTGTGAAGGTACTATGGCCAAATCAGAAACAATACTCGACAATCCACTTGAAAGTTCGCCTGTTCCTCGATTATCGAGGATCATTGTGTTTGCGTTCAGCTGAGGACACATATGACAGTCGTTGGATATATCATAAGAGGCAGAGTCTGGTAGCGATCGAAATCCGTCTACCTGGGAGGTAGATGCGGGCTCTTTCCCGGTGCTTAGACCTGGATATAGAAGGAAAGTTGATGATCTGTCATCTTGCTTCGCTGCGATATCAGTATGATGCGCACTTTCTGTCGAATATTTCAGCTGTGATGTCGTTGATGGCAAGGTCTGTTGAGTAGACGGGTCATGAAGAAGGCCATTGACCACACTCGGGTCTCTCATTGCTCGCAGATTCACGTCCAGAAATGTCGGGTTAGACTGTGCAAGCCGGTGTTGCCTCAGTATAAGTTCTCGGCGATCTGGTGACCTGCGCTGCGACTCCAGCAACTCGCAGTCAAGCAGATTCCTGTCCCGACAGCGGGTACAAGGAACACCTCGAGAACTGGCATCGCACTTTATTTTCGCACTATGGCAGCTCACGCAGGAAAAAGATGAACGATATGATTTTCGAATACCACCTCCACGGTTCGATGTGCTGATCGTTGAATGGTTACTTTCCATAGCTATATTGATTCGTTTGAGAAGGAAGTCTCAACTTCATCCCTGTAGCGACGCTGGCAGTAGGTTGATCCAAGGTCAGCAGATAGTCTCTTGCAAGGTTGCAATAATTTATTAATTATTTTGTGTTTTCCTTACCTGATCCAATGGTCCGCCGACTTCCTACCAGCTTATCAAAGGCATTACTTTATTGGTATCAGTAACATGGTGAAGCGAGCATTCCAGCTTGATCTATTCATGCCATGGACAGCGGTGGGCAGCGTTGTTGATAAAATCGCACGTCTCTGCTTGGTCCGTTTCTCAGGGAGTATGGAGCCATCCATAAAACCGAATTCCATGAACGCTAAGCTGTTTTAACTTCGCGAGCTCAAATTATGATTTATCTCCGGCAATGAGCAGCGCCTAGTCCCTGTTATCCTTGTTATTTATTGTCTCCGGTTTCCAGCTCACTAACCGAATCATGCTAACATAAATAATAAACTACTTGATCGGTTTTGTCAAAGCGTTTACTCTATAGTCTCACGCAATTGCAGGACAATTTCAGCCATTCAAAAGAGCTATTTACATAATACCTTCCATGTCACGAACCACAGTACCTTCTTGCGCTGCCCTCCGCATTGCCTGTATATCTAGCTGAATGCACTTGCAAGCCACAAGTCTCTTCAATGTAGAGTTTGCGCGTAGATAAGCTGCAACCGCGTCGTCCGTCGCATTAGGTGAACCCGAGATGTCCAAGTACTCCAAATTTGTAGCAGTTGTCAGCTTCTCAAAGACAAACGGACGGACGGTTGCATTGTATCCTATCTTCAATTTTCTCAAGCGAGGAAACAAAATCAGAATCAGCTCTATTACACTTAAGTTTCCTTCTGGCAGCCTAGTTCGACCGTAAGCTGTGGGATTGCTCATAAAATCAGATACAGAAATTGACGAATTCCTGATCTGATGCTTGCCAAAAACTGCAGCTGTAAAGTCGATATCCACAGAATACTGAAGATCAAGCTCAGTCAGTTGATCTGCGTTACATCTGGCCAAAACATCGATCAACTGTTCTTTAGAGTGGCTGTACCATGATAAATCCAATTTCTGAACTCTTTCTAGCTCAAATGCGTCCCCTTCTCTTTCGATGGCCGCAGATGTTAGCCGCGAGTAGTAACGACCACCCGAGCTACTCACACAAGGGCGCAAACTCTCTCCAACAAAATGTCGAAATCTTAAACTTCGACATTTGGGAAGCCGCAATATAGACTGCGTATGCTGTAGCTCCGACCAGCTCAGATCAACCACTTCGAGCTGCGGCGCGTATTTTGCTATGTCAAATTCACATTCTGAATCACTCAACAATCTCACGTATGTACAGGCGAGATGCTTCAGGTTCGGGAAAAACTGTAATGCGGAAGTTATAGAGGAGATGTCAAGGCTCGGCATCTCGTTTGGTTGGGAAAAGGGAAAACTTGAATACTCGTCGTGGTATGGTCGACCGCCTATACTCAAAATCTCAAGCTGTTCGGAAAGTGGTGAGCTGCTTAGAATACCTTCATTGATACCCAGGCAGGGCATCCTGTATCGGGCAAGACTGTATTGTGCCTCGAGATCAAGCCTTTTCAGTTTCTTCAGCAACCCAGACTGCATAAGGGTCCAAATATCTGAGGAGCGCTCAATCGGTACTGATAGCTCCTGAAGTTGGTCACATAGTGCATATGTGAACGGTGACTGATCACGCTCAGCCTTGGAGAGAACCATTCCCATTGACAGAGTAACCTGCTTGATATGAAGAGCGTGCAAATTCGGAAGATCTAGCGGCTTATGGCGGGGCTGATTTGACCGTTCAAACTCGGGTTTCTCACGTCCTCTTAGTAGATTTAAAATGCACGATGAAGTATCCGACCGATGAATGTTTCGCAAGATAATCTCCTCGACATTATGCTGACAGATACTGGTAATCTCATGCATAGTCCCAAGAGTGATAGGCCTTTCAGAGTACCCGAAATCTAAACTTGTGGCCATTTCTAAGGATTTGCTGGCCAATTGATTCCAATGTTTGCTGACTGTTTTCATTCTGCGACGCTCAAAAAACGGTATATAGTCTAAAATCATCAACTGTAATTCCCAGGGGAGCTTGTTCCAAGACAACGCAGATGAGATCGAGGTTTTTTCGGCAACTATGTCATCTGGAGGATAGGACAACGCCATTTCGATCAGTTTCTGCAAGGCATAATTAGCTAGTAGCTTCGGACAAATATTTCCAATTCTGATTACACTTACAGCTCCCAGGTCAAACATCATATTATAGCGAGTTCCTTTCGCGTTTTCTTTTTGCAGGTTGTATCCTCCATAGCTCAGTGGTGTCTCCGCAGCAGCACATGCCTCTTTCATGTCCATCAATTCCTATTATAGCGTTAAAAATCGTGGCGCAAGTATCGGCTAAGGGGAGCATGATTGGCAGGAAGAAAACTTACAATCATACTATTATTCGGCAGTCCTTCTTGCTCAGCCAGCTGGGAAACCATGGAAGCGAGCCAGTAGTCGTTCAATCTGCTACTAAGCTGCATTGCTAGCCGATAACCCTGATGAGCGCAGTCAGAACATATACTTAGAACGTGGATTATCACTCACACATACTTCAATACGCATCGGATAAAGACTTATCAACTCCAAGGCGGCCATGACTGCCTGTTTGTGAGCTTTCAGCGAAGCGGCCGACTCAACCAGGCGCTTATATATTAGAACGTTCGTAGAAAACGACCGGGGCTCGTTCTCAAATCGAATAAGTGCCTGAGACGGGTTAGGAAGATGTTCATCACGTTTGCTCCCCAACATACTACTCACCTGACTAAATATCCAGTACGCTGACTCATATTGCTTGGTTTGAATGGCAGCCTCGCCGTACTCTAGAAACGGCTGAATGAGCATCCATGATTCTTGATGTGCAACCGTACTTATGAAGCTCTGAAGATCAATCAGATTAAAGTTGTCGAAATCATTCTTGAAAACACCATCCCAATCTGTTCCATGAAAGAACGCTTCCTCTGCGACTACCGCTCGACCTTCCATTTCTCTGTTGCTGTTACTGAACTGGCTTGCGTCATGATGAGTTAGTTGCTTGACGGCGTATTATCTTCACATTTAAACCTTATTTTCCTCTACTCATCGAGCGGCGCTGATGTTATGCGCCGATAAGCTAAGCCAGTGAACATAGTTGACGACATTCCATTACTCTCCAGTTACCCGATGCAAGAAAACAAACAAAGAGTATCCCACAACTACTGAGTATTATGTGTTGTTGAAATTCTGGCGTGGAATATTTGTTTGAAGGCGATTTGATCAACTTGTTGCGGCTAAATAAGCGATGCGCCCACGCCATCGTTCTATTTTCCATCTCACTATCTCCTACTTCCATCCAGGGCGATTTATTGATCTCTCTTCAGTTTGCAGGGTCATAATTAAGATATGAGATGAGCTTTTTTCAATTTGATGATGGCATTGATGAAGCCGCAATAGAGCGGCTGCATACTACCGATTGGCATTCTATATCGTCATCTTCTCCGCATTACGATGGTCTTGACTCGTTGTTATTTGAAGATTTTCGTTTTCTGGATGAGCGTCAATTAAATGAACGCGGTGAATACCATTTCTGGCTTGGGGAGCTTGCTGTCGGTAAAAAACAATGTGAAATTGCATACTCGCTGTACTCAAGAGTAAGTTCCTTTCAGTGGGTTCAGTGGTACATTGCATTAGTGCTAGCAATCTTGAGGTGTCCATTTATAGCAGTGATACCGGGAATTTTCCAATCTAACCTAGTCTTCTGCAGGGGCTCGAATGGCGCCATCGATTTATGTCTTCAGGGGAGGTTAGCAAAAAAATAGCTCGTCGAGCAGATTTGGCCATGAATATGAGATTTTACGAATGGGCCAGACGAGATGCTCATCAACTGCTACTCAGCGCCTTAAAAACAAACAACAACACTCAATTGGAAAATGCACGATAAGATTTTTGCCGATGTGTTATAGCTTCTTTGTATACTGTGTATTAACTTCAAATATCTCCTCTAGTCACTACGTATCATGGAGAACGTGCTACAAGAATCGGACAGCAAATCTCCATCTACCATTTTCTCGGATGTGCATTCGGGTTGTTCAAAAGACGGGCGGCTTATCCAATCTCTTTTGGTAAGTCCCGCGAATTTCCTCTAAAGGCTGTCTGCAGCTTACTTACATTGATTAAGGAATCACAGACAAAACCCATATCTCTCATGCAGAATGCCTCATCGTTGTGCTCTGCGTCATCAAAAGGCTCCAATCTCTATATTCCGTTCGACGTATGGTCCTCGATAATCAAGTATCTCTCTGTCTTTCATCGCCTGAGCTTAATGACCACAAGCATCGAGTGGAACTCTGCTATCCTTGCTTCGTTGAGCGCAATCAACTCACTCGATCTTAGAGAGAGTAGATGGCCGCTATCATCAGAGATTGTCATACGATTGCTTAGACTCTGCCATGAATCTCTCGTGGAAATTGTCGTTGACAATTTGATTATTTCTGAGATTGATTCCGTCATACAAGTACTTCGAAACACCAGCGACAAGCCTTCCACATCCCGGATTGATTTTCCTAAACTCAAATCTTTGAGTATTCTTCATCCAGAAGCTGCTTTGAAATATTTGTACGTCAACATGGAGAACCCTCATCATATGCCTCACCTGCGCAATTTTGCAAATTTTACCAAGCTCACGTTGCCAGTGGAGGAGCCTAGAGATATTATTGAGTCTTTAATGCTGGGAGATTTTCCAAATCTTGCTGAGCTGAATCTTGTTCTCAGCTACGATGTAACGAGAAGACAGTCCAAAATTACATTCTTTAGTGACTTGGTTACGTCATATCGCCATCCGTCTTTACGCATCTTGAATATCGGGGGCTCTCCGTTCCGCGAAGATTACAAGCATTCGTTTCCGTTTTCAAAGAGGAATGAACGTGCAAGAATCTCGCTGACACTAATCCTATACTTGCTGCGAATGTCTCCTTTACTGGTAGAATTTCGCTGCACGTACATGGATGTAGTGAGCGATAGTTTTCCATCCGACGAAGAGCTTCCAGCAAATCTGAGTCTGACTCGGCTCAATGAACATCTGAAAGCATTGGATATGCGCTACTCTATCTGTAGCTCGGATATTGAGCTGCCGGTTACTTCTGAGTTCATTTCTATGAGGATGGTTGGAAGACTTCCGATACTTGGAAATCGTGGCTATGTCAATACTCAAGATGCAGTGTCAATACATGACTCAAGTGACACCTTTCCCATAATTCATCTTGATATCAGCTATTGTCAGAGTATACAGGGTGGCTCGTTGTACAGATTCCTTCGCCCTGTCAGCGGATCATCCTTAACAACTCTAGACCTCTCGTTCTGTTCTAACGTCAATTTTAGCGAGAGGTGCTTTGATACAGAAGGGCTAACGCTGATGAGATGGCTTCTCCAAAAGTTCTTCCAACTTCAGAGTTTAATGATTGGCTATAATCAGAATGTTATCGATAGAGATTTGGATGATATAGCCGAATCAGCGCCCACACAATTAGTGCATCTAGATCTTTCCGGGTGTCCAAAAATTACAGATGCGGGAGCGCTAGGCTTGCTGCTGGAAAGTCATTCGTTGAAATGTCTGAAGCGTCTTGTGATTTTCAACAATCCGCAGTTGTCAAGCACCGTATTCCAGCTCTCAAGTCGGGATATCAAGATTTTGGGGCTTTATAGCGCTTAGACTATCTGTGTGAACGAGCAATGACTCTAATGGTACTCAATCTTAATTAATGTACTCTGCTTTTAATATGTGACGTTACAGTAATGAAGCTCAAAAACTGTGCTGTCGCAGCATTCCTGCTATGATCTCTACGATTGTCTTTGTTTAGGCTCGTATCTCGCTCGTGCTGATCCCGACCTTGGTGCCGAATACGTATCTGAAACCGTCTACTATACCTCAGTCTGTAGCGTCTCCCTAAGTAGTTGTATGAGCGCGGATGTCTTCGGAGAGCTATCAATGTCAACGCATTCTAGCAAGTCCCCAGGCGCTGAAAATATATAAATGACACTTTAGTGAAGCAAACCAACATCATTCGCTTTACAGAACGGCGCTTTTCGAGAAGACATTAGAGCCCTGCATTTTGGGGAGGGGAGAGGTAAGTTGCGTCGTCGTAGGCCGTAGAGTAGGATTGCTGCGATAGGACATGGTGACGGAATAAGTGGGGAATAGGGTTGGAGATGGAGGTGGAGGCGCAAGCGATTAGGGAGATAGCAGATGAAAAATCGATTATTAGGAAGTCTGTGTAATTGGGAAAGTCAGGCTTCCTCATATGCTACTCTAGTGGCTGTCTCAAGAAGTCCTTTTGTCGGAAGGAGGCGGTCTACTTGTCCAGGTAGCAATATCGTCGGACGCTGGGAGGAGGTTTTCTTCAATGAGTGGAGATTGTTTCATATGAAGAGCCGACCATTTGGTAGTGGTAGTAGTGGCTCTAATGAGGTGGGAGAGAACTCGCCGGAAGTAGCTAGGATACTTCAAGAAGTCATGTGAGAGATAGGTAATCTTTTAAGGAAAGGCGCGAATAGCCAGTTTTGCGACAGGGGAGCAGAGGTGAGGCCTAGCCTCGTAGCCTCATGACGGTATTTGTATCGTCACTAATCGTCACTAATCTCCCGAAAGAAGTCACCCGAACAGTGAGGTTTGTTACCTAACGTTTAGGTAGGCCGGATCGAATCTCACTTACGCTGCCCTTAACCTAGGCATTAGGTAGTATAATCGCATGAAGACTGATTGGTAATCTACGTACACGGACCCTCTACCTGAGTATTAGGTGGTAGAATAAAGGCCTACCTGAGCGTTAGGTAATAACTTGGTAGCTCCCGCCGATCTAGCCATGAGTCTTGACATATGATTTATAAAATTGCCTAGCTCTTTGCGGTTATTATGAGGAAGAAGAGATACGGCATCGGTCTGTGATCATAAACGACAGATAAGCGGCTAATTGATGCGAAGACGTGGACCGTACCCACATACGGTTCTGAGATCTATTTCACATTATAATTTCTAAGAACGGGCCCAAAACATGGGGAGTGCAAGAAATTACGATGTCAAAACAATGCATTTTCCAATTTTTGTATGTGAGCCTCATAGTAAAAAAAACACGATTTTCACGGAAAGTCCTGAGTTCTGGTGGTAGTTGCTATGCTGTATACTGTCGCCTATATTATGAGAGAGCGACACACACAGAGTACAGCGGCGCTAAGACCATGCAGCACTCAGTCAGTCATCCGCATGCAGCAGTTCAGATTTAACAGTGAGCCCTTTTGCGGTTTCAATCAGTGATCTTGGTCCACTAACTTGATCTCTGCACTGATAAGTCTTCTTCTTAACAGGCGGAGACTGGGTTTCTCATATCTCGAGCAAGTGAGGAGCTGTTAGCTTGTCGGCTGTCATAGGCGCGTTTCTTAGTGACCCAAAGGGTAGATAAAGAGCTGCCATCAAATTTGTTCTTTATTGAATCATAAATGTTACCGTTAATCTCAAGAACCACAAGCAGTGGAAGATGACTGTTGGCTTTTCACACTAAGTACAAGTCTGAAACTAGCTCTGTTACGTTAGGCTTGGATGCCCAGAGGTTGGGTAATCATCATATTAGCTACAAGTCGGTGAAGTGAGGGAAGAGCGAGAAACTTTTGGAGAATTTGTATCAAAGTAGTCCAGCAGAATTACAGACTGTTGGGTACATTGAATTTCAAGTAGAGACGCTTTTGGACGTCCGCTATTGTGTTTCAGTGAAGAGGGATGTACCAGCCCATTGCCTTGCTCGCTCTCAAGAGGGGGACTATTCAGAACTGTTTTTTATGACAAGAATCAATAGTACCGGTAGTGGCAACATGAAACGCGACCATTTCATAGCTACCTTGATATGCCCGCGCAATTATTACGGGATTGTGAATACATATAGCACCAAATCTATGCGACTTTTCTTATTGGGTTAGAGTCGCGTCATCACGGCAGTAAAACTGTCGTTGAATGATACAGTGAGGGGTTGAGCGATGAATGAGGTTGGTCTTCGAATTAGAAGTACATGTGATTGATTAGAAGATAGCAGGTTATGGCAAATAGGCTTGCGCGTTTATTGCTACTCTGCTGATAGTTCTGTTTTACCCACTCGCCGGAAGGAACAAATATGCTGGACCTCGGGAGAGAAATTGAGCGAGGTCTGTTTATAAGAAGTCGAAATTGCCCAGTAATAGTCAAAGGAGCTTTTTTGGAGGTGGCTTGAAGCCGTCGAAGAGAATCTACACAAACTCCCCATGAAGAAACGCATCATGAGGCGAGGTCTGAATAGCCAGCCTCGCAGCTTCATGATTGATTCTCTTGTGATAATCAGAAGACGGTTGTGGTCATACTGGATCTCATCCCACAGAACTTGCAAGCACTGTCACTGTCGCGGAATTTTTGGTATAGCAGCCATCTCTTTATATAATGAGTTTTGCGTCGCAGGTACTTCGTAAACGAAGTAGGAGATATATCTTCACTGACTAGATTATAACTTCTCAATAAGTCGCCAGTTGTTGAGGGTATTTTTAATTCACAGGGAAAGTAGTAAGTGAGCAAGTTGTTATAGTAGTAGCGTTAGGATCATTGCCGTTATATGTGTGCTGGACAATCTCACTCTCTACACTATCTGTACTATCGCAAAGTCAAGCTAGAGTGGCTCTGGATCACACGATTTCCCGGATCAAAGATCTTCTACGGTTCTTCTTTGGTAATACAATTGCAAACAGATCAAGTGGAGCAAAGGCCACTCAGTCGACAGATATGACACTCTCAGTCATTTGATTATGTCATACAGTTAGATGATTAGTCCCTTTCACTTCACGATATCATCTTCACTTGAACTAGTTTCTTTATCACCAGCATTTTGTACTACAACAGCCAGAACTCTATCCCTAGGCGTGTTGAATAGGATGAAGTATAGCGTCAGGAAATCATAGACTCATCGCAAACCTGCACGCATTGACACTTATATTTACAATAGCAGTATGCATATCTACACAACTGTAAATTCACGGATCGGCAGGCAACCAGATTATGCTATGGCAAAGCTGCCTCGTCTGACGCGCTCGGTCGTTGATGCCAGACACAGTTGCGATGGTCATATTGAGGAGTTCGCAGGGGGGATTGTATACTAAGATTTGTTGAGTTAGATCTTGTTGGTCCTTTAGAAAGCTGGCTAACCCTGTCTCCTATATACTTCTTACTCGCCTTCTCTGAATCTCTCCTAATCTTGTATTCTCTATCTCATTTGTCTTCTCTATCTCATTGCAGCATGCTCGGTCGAATGGTACTCAGACCAAGTTGATATTGTCGACTCGGCAAGGTTCAGCAGGTTCAGAAGGCGAACCTAATGGTCGCCATGGGCACCTTCATGACGAGCTCGATGAAAGCATACTCCTTTTTTAAGAAATACTTACAATATTTTCAATATTTTCAAGTGTATACTAGAGTCTACTAGGACAGCGGTGCTTCGGCGTGCGACCTGGACAAGCGAGCATTTTAGCCGGACCATCGTAAGACGAATGTAGCAGTATGATTTGACAATAAAATATCCTAAAGAGGAGTGAGTAAGAAATCTGATGATATTGTCATCGAGCAGGTTCAGCTATATCGATCAACTATGGCACGTAATAACGTGTCAACGACTTTCTATCGCGACAAGCCAGACCGCATCATTTGAAACGATCATCCGAATGCGATCGAGCGCGAGAGAGAAATCATAGAGAAGTGCCAGACTTACTTACACAAAGCAATCGGAGTAATCCATATTAACTACATGTGACGAGCACTTCAGAAAGTTAAGATAGCTAAAAGCCACAAGTACACATCGGATGCGGCAAAACAGGCTTTTTGAAAAGAGAGAAAATGGGCATATAGAGATGAAATGAAAATGGCGCATTGAGAGACGAGAACATACAGAGGTAGAAGGAGAGGGAGAAAGCGAAGAAAAGGAAGAGAGACGAGAGGAATGAGAGGCAGAAGGATCAATGAGAGGAAGAGAGAGGGACCAGAGGGAGAGGGACCAGAGGGAGAGGGACCAGAGGGAGAGGGAGAGGGAGGAGGGAAAGGGAGAAGGGGGAAGGGAGAGGGGAGAAGGGAGGAGGAGGAAGAGGGAAGCGAGGAGAGTAAGGAGGGAGCAAGGAAGAGACAAATTCCATTCCATTTACGACATACACATTGTCGCAAACCAGGAATACTACGCATGGAGAGACAAAAACGCAAAAGCCGGGTAATTTGAATTAGATGCTGTAAGCAGTAGAGTAGCCATGTTGTTACGATCTGCTGAGATTAAGCTCTTGTTGTCTGATTTGTGCAATAGCACCACATGAATAGTTGAGGCTGTTTGTGGGTGTTTGGAACATGATTGTAGTAAGATACAATTTGTGTTTCTAAGTGCAGAGTAAAGCCGGGTAACTACGAGAGGTGTTGGAATATGGGCCAGGCAAGTGCTGGTGTTGAAGAAAAAAATTGCGAAGTGGGCTGGAGGAGGTGAAGGAAGTGTATATCGGGTTAGGGTATGCAATGAAGGAAATGTAATGAAGTTGTGTGGAAGTTGGGAAGCGGCCTGAAGAAGTTGGAAGGCGGCCCAGTAAAAACAACTGGTGTTGCTTAATAAGCAACGAGATGGCCTGTTTGGCAATGGACCATTTTGAAGCGGTCTGTTTTTAAGTTTCTTATGT